GGGGGGGACACTACCTGGGCTGGCCGGGCTGCTTGGTGACGGCTGACGCAGATCGCCGGGGTGAGACAGGTGGAGGGAGCTGGTGGGGTGGGGGGGAAGGAGACGCCGGCGGAGACGGGGGGCGCTCCAGCTCCCGAGGCAGGACAAAGGCGGACGCGGTCCTCCTTTGTAATCGCGCGGCTCGGTGGCCGAGGTGGCCTTCTCTCCCCGGGTCTGGGCTCGAGGGCAAGCTAGGTAAACGGACGGTGTCCAGGAGGAGGTAGAGGATGCGTAGCCGGCCTTTAGGGTCCAGACTTGGACCTGCGGATGGAGTACGTACGCATCTCCAGAGGGTCTACCCCCCCCCCCCAAACACACACATACATTAGATGTTTACCAAGAGTTTAATTTTGCAGGAGAAGTGAGCGGCTTACCCGATAGGAATAGGATCAAGTGGGTGTGTTTCAAAAAGGCCGGGTCCGGGGGAAACGGGGGGACTGTTTTTAAAAAGGCCGGGGTGGATAGTTCAGTAAGGTTTTATGGAGTTAATTCTCCAAGAGTTGTTTTGTGTCGACTTGTAATTAAGGCCGGAAGTCAAATATATTCGTTTTGATTTGATGGCTAGGATGTTGGAAACAAGTGTCGGAACTGTGATGTTTTGAACAACAACAAAAGCCTAGCCTAATCGCGTGCTGGTGGAGGTGTTTGCGGGTACTTAAATCAGAACTGTGTCGGTAGTTTTTCATTGAATATGGGTTAAAAAGGAAAAAGACACCCTGGGTTTGGAAGTGAGCTTGCAGCAGTGCCCATGCCACCTAGAAAAAGCAGATCCTTCCTTAATGGGCTTTTAAAATACAAAGAACTCAGACTCTGCTGTAAAGAGCTAAGTGATATGCCCCCATTTTCTTGATTGGATTACATTATAAACACATCTTTTGGTTTTTTGAAACAGGCTCTTGATATTAGCTTGCAACTGGATATGCACAGGAGGCTGCCCTCTTAGCTCTCCTGCAGTCCCCTGCCTCTGCCTACAAGATGGTTTTGTTTGGACATAGGGTCTCTGTAGACTGTGCTGGCCTTGAAATTCGAGGATCTTGATGTTTCTGCCTCCAACTGCTGGGATGGCAGCTATGAGCCACCATACCCAGTTCATAACATCCATTAACTTCTGTTTAAAGTGAAATTTCTACAGATTTTAGTACGAGTTTTCAGAGTATCACAACTCAATTTTAGAAACACTTTTATAATTTCAAAAAGATGTACATACTAAGTCATTCCATATGCTGACCTGTTCTCTATTTCAGACCTTGGAAGTCACAGATCATGTTTATGTTTTATAGATTTTTATGCTCTCGGGTTGTGTATAATTGAAATAGTATGTAGTCTTTTGTGACGGAAATTTTTACTTCCTTTAGGAAGTTTTATTTAAAGTCTCAAAAATTTGGCCTCATTTTAACTGCTAGTATTTTTAATTTGTACTAACACTTGGAGGTTTTCTGGTAGTGTTTCACTGTTTACCCAGGCCAGCCTGGGACCCCCTGGGCTCAACCTACCCTTCTGCTTTGGCTTCCACTCTAGCTGGGCTACAGGCAAGGGACTGCACCTGAGACCCCCTTGGATTGGTGGGGGGGTGTAACTCAGGTTGGTCTCCCTGTCTCAAGGTCTAGAATAAGGGGCCTGAGAACAGTTGGGATTCCAGAAGGAGAGTAGTGATCAATTGATAACAGTGTTGCAAAGAAAGGTGGAGTGGAGTATTCTAAATGGTAAACTGCTGCATAGCTCTGAAAGTTTTATTAGCAGCTTAGTGTTTTTCAGAGAATTGAAGAACTTTATCCTTGATACTAGCAAAACTGGTACGTTAAGTCTTACACACACAAAAGAGCTTTCTCCCTTGCATTTGCTACTGAAATACCACTTTGCCCCCTTTATTTTATGAGTGTTTTGCTTGTGTGGATGTGTGTGCACCACATGCATGCATGGTGCCGGTAGAAAGCCCAAAGTGTCAGATCCACAGGACCTGGGTTATACAAGGTTGTGATCACCCGTGTGGGTGCGGGAGTAGCCAGTGCCCTCTATGATGAATGATCGTCATTACACTGAGGGGAAGGACTCTCCTAAGCTGGTGTGGTAGCGCCTGTAATCCCACTGCAGAGTCCAGTCCAGGTTAGAGAGAAGACCCTGCCTTGGGTGGGGGCCAGTGTCACCACAAGAGAGAACTGCTCTAACCTAAGAGTTCATTTAAGGAGGTTTGGTTTGCTTTTGTGGCACTGGGAATTGAGCTGAGCCTGCAGCCTCATGCATGGTAAAACATTTCTGAGCTTTTATTTCAAAGTTAATATGGTACTGTCTTTCAGGGGTCCTCTAGAATGGTATTAAACATCAAAACACCTTTAATATTTCTGTTTCCTTTCAGGACCGAAATGGTTTTTCAGATACAGTTAAGATTTTGTGGAGCATCTCAGTGGTTTTGCAGCAATGGTTCTCAGCCTATGGGTTGACTAAGACCATTGGAAAACACAAGTGTTAACAAATTGTAACAGTAGCAAAATTAGTTATGAAGTAGCAACAAAAATAATTTTATTGTTGGGGAGGTCACCACAACATGAACTGTATTAAAGGGTCGAAGCATTAGAAAGGTTGAGAACCCCTGCTTTACAGGGTCCATCCAGTCTAATTGTCAAAGGTGAATGTTTATCTGAAGCAGATCAGAACTACAGAATATAAATATTCTTGTAAAATACAGTAGTGGGTGCCAATACCTCACCTACTGCTGTTCTCCCCCCCCCCCCACACACACACACAGGATTTCTCTGTGTAGGCCTGGCTGTCCTGGAACTCACTTTGTAGACCAGGCTGGCCTCAAACTCCCAGAGATCTGCCTGCCTCTGCCTCCTGAGTGCTTAAAGGCGTGTGCCACTATCCAGCAACTACTGCTGTATTTTATCGTGAATACCAGGCTCAGAAATTCAATATTTTAAGTAGCCATCAAATGGCAGATTAGTGAGCCATTCTACCCCATGTTTTTGTTTTCATTTTTTGTTAAGATAGCCTCACTATGTAGACTAGGCTGACTTTGAACTCAGCCTGTCACTGTCTCCCACATGCTGGGATTAAAGACATGTGCCACCATGTAGGGCCTCATGCTTTCTTTTAAATCAAGTGTGCTGAAGAATTAGCTATGTCAGTTTTTAAATTGTGTTTTCACCATTTTGGTTCTGTGAGGAGTGTTACCTTTTCATGGACTTTGCTTTAAAATGGGCCTGGATTTTCTCTCAGCAGGGTTTGAGGTTCAGTCACTAGTACACAATAAACACACATGCAGATGATATACACATGTAGAGATTAATAGTTACTGGTAGAGAAATTACATTGGCTTTCCTTAATGCATGTATTATTTGGGGAGAGATGTTTAAGATGTAATCCACCGGTTGGCACATGGTAGACATTTAGTGTCATTGAGCTATAGGATGGGTTTGTTGATGTATGAGTTGTAGAAGAAATTTATTCCCTTTTCCCCCCCGCCAGTTTTTGGGAAATGGTTTATCTGTGTAGCCCCGGCTGTCCTGGAACTCACTGTGTAGACCAGGCTGTCTTCGAACTCAGAGATCTGCCTTCCTCTGCCTCCCAAATGCTGGAATTAAAGAGGTGTACTACCACCGCCCAGCTTCCTTTATTTATTTTGGTTTTTTGAAACAAGGTTTCTTTCTGTGTAACAGTCCTGGCACTCACTCTGTAGACCAGGCTGACCTAGAACTCACAGAGATCGGCCTGCCTCTGCCTCCTGAGTGCTGGGATTAAAGGCATGCACCACTGCCCAGCCTATTTGTTTATTTTTTAAAGGCAGAGTCTGGCCTTGAACTACTGAACCTCTTGCCTCAACCTCCCAGGGCTAGGGTTGTAGGAGTATGCTACCATATGATTTTAAGAAAATTAGAATTGTAGATGCTGCCTCTAATGGATGATACGGAATTAACCATTAGTGAATGGTGTTGATATACCTTCAAGCCTAATCAAGTGAAAAAAAATTGTTTTGTTGGTAGAGAAGGAGGTGGTGAGGGAAAGATTGGAATATTCAGGTGAGTAGGATTCCTACAGCTGCATAGTGAACTAAGCAAGGGCTGGTAAGTTTCCACAGCTGCGGAACTTCTGCATTAGTCTCTAAAAATATTCTGGAATCGTAAAAGGAAAGTGCCGCCTCTAGGGAAGAGTTCTAGCTAGGTTGTGTGTTGGTTGGAGGATGGAGGGGGCTTCCTGCTGTGCCTTTTAAATACCACGTGAGTGTCAATATGTTACTTTTGGGTAAACTTTGTTTAGACCTCCTTGACTGAAAAAAGTTAAGGGGCTGAGCATGATGTGGAGTGGTGACATTCCCCTTTAATTCCAGCTCTCCAGGGCTGAGAGGCAGGCAGGTATCTGGGATTCAAAACCAGCCTGGTTCTTGGTCACTCTGTTTTAACTCCCCTCACCCACCCCCCCAAAAAGATGTTAGTATTGAAGGTACTCATCTGAGTGTGTGTTGAAGCAGTTCCCTTGTAGTCCCAGCTAGTCTCAAACGACAGGTCCTTCTGTCATATTCTGCATAGCATTTGGTTTTGAGTAGCCTTTTACTTGTTTCCCTTTGTTTTTGAAACAGGGTCTTGTACAGCCCAGGCTACCCTCCAGTTGCTGGTGTAGTCAAAGATGACCTTGAGGTCTACCTGGCTACTGTCATTTTCTTTTTTTTTTTAGACGACTATACTGTATACCTTTCATGTGATTGTTCTTAAACATTTTGCATTTGGACAGGTGACTTAGCTAATCTTAGCACTCACAGCTGAGGCAGGACTGCTTGAAGTTCAAGGCTAACCTGGGCTACCAAGTTAGACCCTTGTTTTGGAAACAGAAACAAGCTAAGTATAGTGGGTACACTGACACCGTGTCTGCAAAACCAAAAAGAAATTGCATAGCTATGGGTCATATTGAAGTCTGAAAAGTTAAAAAAAAAAAAAAGTAGAATGACGGAAAGGATCGAGTGTGTTACAAATCTTACTCTGGTGGTAGAATGCTTCGAGCGCTTATTAGACTGTCAGGGTTGTTTGGTAGAGAGGGGTGAGTTTCATTACCTTTCCCTACCCCACCCCAAAGTAGAGTGTAATAGGGTACTGTTGCTGATTGTTGCAGGAGTCACCTTGCATGCATTCTGTGCATTCTGTGCCACTTGGGAGAGGTGTTCAATCTTGGTAAGAGTGTGTTGTGATTGACTGCTTTATGTGCTTGTTTGTTTTCATAGCATTTAAATCAAGCGGTATTGAAATGGATTGGGTTATGAAACATAATGGTCCAAATGACGCTAGTGATGGCACAGTGCGACTTCGAGGACTGCCATTTGGTTGCAGCAAAGAGGAGATAGTTCAGTTCTTTCAAGGTACCTCTAGTACTAGTAAAAGTTTAGTAGTAGTTTAATTGTATGTTTTTTATTAGATGGTTTTTAATTTAAAAAACCCATTTGATTTTGCAACTTAATTTTGTGATAATCTGGGTTATATAATAAAATGGGAAATGTGCTCCAGTTAATATTCAATAGAGAATGTGTAGGCTATGTAAACGTTGATTGATGTATAGTATAGTTAACTGAGAATAACTGTGATGACATGGGCTATGAGTTAGCATTGGGAGCACAGTTAAATGATTAATAGTTTTTTCATGTAGTGGGTTTTTAGAAGTATAATTTTAAAACACTAGTCAAAGAAAATATTTAATCCAGTGATATTTGAAAAATATTCCATTTGTATTATGGGGTGATGGGAAACTAAGCGTTTTGTTTTGTTTTGTTTAGACTTGTTTTAAATATTTGATTCAGATGGGAATGTTTCAGCCTTTAACACTGTTCCCCTTGATGGGGTATTTGTCCTTGGGTTAAAGGGTTGGAAATCGTGCCAAATGGGATAACATTGACGATGGACTACCAGGGGAGAAGCACAGGGGAGGCCTTCGTGCAGTTTGCTTCAAAGGAGATAGCAGAAAATGCTCTGGGGAAACACAAGGAAAGAATAGGGCACAGGTGGGGATGGAGAGTTTGGGATGGTGTTCAATTTTTATTTTTGGGGGTTGTGGGTCACTATTGCTTAAATGGGGGGGTAACCATAACATTTTTCTGGGGTAGTTTTAAAGAATTGATAATTACCTATATTTAACATGGAAACTACAGATTTGGGTGGGGAATTAATGCTAATAGTTTAAATTAAAATTAAATTGTTTCCATTTCTTTGTAGGATGTTGTTAAATTTGTTTTGTATAATCACTTGTTTTTCTTACATACCTATCTTGTACTAAAGGAAACAAACTAAAAATATATTCATAATTCAGTGTTTTCAAATGACTCATTTGTCTCTGTAAAACTTAAATATTTAATTATTTAAGTTTGTAGGTGTAAAAATTTTACCTTATGGTTTATTTAGACAATTTAAATTGGGTTATGTACCTAGATATAGACAAACTTATTGCATTTTGCCCAGTATCTAATTTACTTTCTAATACATCTGTGCTGAAACTTGTACTTTAACCCTTTGTACATAGGTATATTGAGATCTTCAGGAGTAGCAGGAGTGAAATCAAAGGATTTTATGATCCACCAAGAAGACTGCTGGGACAGCGACCGGGACCATATGATAGACCAATAGGAGGAAGAGGGGGTTATTATGGAGCTGGGCGTGGAAGTATGTATGACAGAATGCGACGAGGAGGTGATGGATATGATGGTGGTATGTGTATCTAATGAACAAAGGTTCTGTTGTCATTTTCTTGATGTTCCTGACACTTTGTCAAGAAATACAGAAATGGCAGTAATTTCAGTACCTACGAGGTTTTAAAACCTGTTCATGAAATTATGGGATTTCCACTGTGGAACTTGATTGATGCACATATTAACACCTAGAAAACTTAATGTAGAAATAAAAATAAAGATAACTGGCATGTTTCTTCTTGGCATAACAATGAAATTTGGTTTTCATGTTGTGTTTGAATTTATCCTGTGGATGTTTGCATTCCCATCAAGGGTTAACTGCTTTTCTCATACGCAGTAAGCTGAAAACATTAATGAAGAAGCTAAGACTGTTGACCACAAATGATTCTGTAAACTAGCTTACAAATAAGTTGCTCAGAATGGTATTTCTTTTTCCTTACATTTGCACAGGCTATGGAGGTTTTGATGACTATGGTGGCTATAATAATTATGGCTATGGAAATGATGGCTTTGATGACAGGATGAGAGATGGAAGAGGTAAACTAAGAAAATTGTCGTGCTGTTTTCTTTGTAAGGGTCCGGTAGTAACAGGCAACTTAGATGTGTTGATGGAAACTTATGTCACTGCACTGCCGTGTTGATTTATATGTGTATACTTACATGAATACACCATGGTTTATAATCTAGGCATGGGAGGACATGGCTATGGTGGAGCTGGTGATGCGAGTTCAGGTTTCCATGGTGGTCATTTTGTGCACATGAGAGGGCTGCCTTTTCGTGCGACTGAAAATGATATTGCTAATGTAAGTGGTATATAATGGGTATTTTTTATTTATTATTCTTGGCGGGGAGGTCTCATTGTAGCCCAAACTGGACTAGAATTTAGAAGTCCTAACTTGACTTGGAGCATGTTGGAAATACAGGCAGCCACCATGCCCTATCTCTTTTATTAAGATTCAGACTAAGCTTGTCACTTAGTGATAGATTATTTGCCTACTATGCACCTAGGTTTTGTGCCCATTATGTGCTGACCTACATGGCATTTTTAAACAGTTTTAAAAATGCATCAAAAAAAGCTCAGTTAAGAATAGAGTCAATCAGGTAGGAATTTGCCTTTAGTAGTAGGGTCTGAAACAACCCCAAACTTCGTTTAAAAATTTAGTATTGCCTTACTTCAAAAGCAGTAAGTACTTTGCATTTTAAAAAAGTACTCCTTTCCTATGTGAGCCAAGTTGACCACCTCTGTAGCAAAGGATGATTTAACCTACCTCCACAATGCTAGAGCCTTTATAGACCCTCAGTAGTTTATTTTAGTGGATTAGGGAGAAAATTAAGGTATGTGCTAGTTTTAAATAATGGAATTTAAAAGTGATTAACTTTTATTTAGTTCTTCTCACCACTCAATCCAATCCGAGTTCATATTGACATTGGAGCTGATGGCAGAGCAACAGGAGAGGCAGATGTAGAGTTTGTGACCCATGAAGATGCGGTGGCTGCCATGTCTAAAGATAAAAACAACATGCGTAAGTGGTGTCTTTGGCATACTTCTGTTGTATAGGTGTGTGCAGTTTATAAAATCATTACTTGTTCAAATGTCTTTGGTAGATCCTAGGTCTTAAAATCATTTCACCTGTTAATGTCTAGACTTTAATGGCTGCCTATATAGTCCTGTATCTAGTCCTATATTTACGGATAAGCCTGCTTTTTTTTTTTTTTTTTTTTTTGGTTTTTCGAGACAGGGTTTCTCTGTGTAGCTTTGCGCCTCTCCTGGAACTCACTTGGTAGCCCAGGCTGGCCTCGAACTCACAGAGATCCGCCTGCCTCTGCCTCCCGAGTGCTGGGATTAAAGGCGTGCGCCACCACCGCCCGGCAGGATAAGCCTGCTTTAAATACTAGCTGATTGACCTTTAATTAGTACATTTGATTGAACATCCCTTTCTCTCCTATTCTTACCTTTTTACACTCTTCTTTTTTAAAGAACATCGATATATTGAACTCTTCTTGAATTCCACTCCTGGAGGTGGCTCTGGAATGGGAGGTTCCGGAATGGGAGGCTATGGCAGAGATGGAATGGGTATGTATAGTTTTGTATTTGAGATGGGGGCATCTTGCTCTGTAGCTCAGGCTGGCCTGAAACTCATAATCCTCCTGCCTTGGTGCTTCAGCATATCCCTCCCAAACCTGGGTTCATAATCTTTGGAATAGGCAGTGTTGGCTACTTTGGAAACCATCCTCTGTTCCTTTTTTTAATGTGCAGATAATCAAGGAGGCTATGGCTCTGTCGGGAGAATGGGAATGGGGAACAACTACAGTGGAGGATACGGCACTCCTGATGGCTTGGGAGGTTACGGTAAGTCTGTATTGTGGCAATGTCTTTCACCTAAAATATAACTATTGTAATGTGCATGGACAACTGATGGTGGTTCTTAATGTCTTCTTAAGGTCGTGGTGGTGGAGGCAGTGGAGGTTACTATGGGCAAGGTGGAATGAGTGGAGGTGGATGGCGTGGGATGTACTGAAAACACCACCAACGTACAAGTCCTAACAACAGCATCTGTCTACTAGACTTTCTTACAGATTGAATTTCTTTTGTATTTCAAGAACTTTATAATGACTGAAGGAATGTGTTTTCAAGATATTATTTGGTAAAGCAACAGATTGTGATGGGAAAATCTGTTTTCTGTAGGTTTTATTTGTTGCATACTTTGACTTAAAATAAATTTTTATATTGAAACCACTGATGTTGCTACTTTTTATATATAAGTACTCTTAAAGATGTGCTGCCTTCCTAAGATTTGGGATGATGTATTTTACTGTTAGCTCTACAAAAAGTAGCATAGTACAATGTGAGAGGATAAGACTGCAAGTCTTAAGCAGACATCTAGGATAGAGCTTGAGTAGTTAGCTAACTTTCTCTCCTGGACATACTGTAAATAAAAAGCCTAAGGATGCATTCAGGTGGCTTCAGGAATGTAAGTTCAGTTAATTCTGTATTTTCACTCTTATTTATCAAGCATAGCTCTGAATAATTTAAGGGGTATCTGGAATCTAAATAGTCCCAATTGTGTTATGAATTATAAACCCAGAGGTTGGGAGTATTAGTTGAAATTACAGCCCTAGATTTAAAAATCCTCGTAGCACTTGACCAAGATACCAAAAATGTTCCCAAAATTTGAGTTTGTTGGAGTAGCTAAGAGTCGTTGATGGTGGCAGAAGAAGTCAGTGTAAATATGCAGGTATTTACTGTGATGGGTGTGTTCTTACGTGTGCTTTTAGTTTCTCACCCAAGAAGACGGGCTTTCAACTGTCTAAGTGACTATACTTAGGAAAACAGTGTAAAACAGTGCTGCATCTGATACTGGCTTTGAGTATGTAAGTTCTGTGTAGCAAGGAAACGGTGCTTTCTGATCTTACCACTTCATTCAATGTGGCTTTTCCCCAAATTGGCTAATGGATCAAATTGAAACCTGTCAATGTGAACTCCATTATTGAACTTGTTACTTGTTTTTGCTAGAAATGTTATTCATGTAATAAATGTTAACATGGGAGATAAAGGAATGTTGTCTGTCCTAGAATGCTTTGTGTCAGTTATTGGTTATAATACACATTGTTAGAAAGTGTGGTGCCGCAGGCCTTTAATCCCAGCACTCAGGAGGTAGGGACCAGTACCACAGATGCCAAGTTGAGATTTCTGAGAAGTGACTGTAAAAGGAGTGCCACAGCTTGTGACTTGGAGCCCAGAGTCCTGAAACAGTGCGTTTCTGTCTGGTTTGGGACAGGGTTTCACCTAGAGCCTATACACTAATGAGCTAGTCTGCATGCCTGGCACAGGGGTCAAAGCACTTCAAGGGTTACCTTCTTAAATCTCAAAGGAGGTGGCTGCAGAGATGATTCACTGGTTAAGAGCACTTGCTGCTCATTCAGAGGACCTGAGTTTGGTTCCCAGCACCCACATCAGGCAGATCACAACTCACTGTAGCTCCAGTGAATGCAGTACCTTTTTCTGGCCTCCTAGGCCACCTGCACACATGTGGCATACACTCACACAGACACACATAGACAAAGCAATAAAAGTCATTGTTAGTTTCTCAAAACTTTGTTTTATAAAAGTCACATTTATTTTAAAAACATACAGATTTGAATTACAATTCCTTGGCACCATGATCATATCTTTGTGGGAGTGCTGGCTAGGGTAAGTAAGGGAATGACAGCAGCTTGGGAATGGTTTGTAATGAATGGGGTATCCTAAACTGAGATTGTGTGATTTTGTTTGGTGGTAGTGCTGTGGATTGAGAACCCAGGGCTTTATCATCCACAGTAAACAAACATTTTACCACTGAGCTATAGCCTCATCCTAGACAGTGGGGCTCAAGTTAATGCTGCCCCAGAAAAGGCCCATGTTTGTGACAAAAAGCACATAATGAAATATTTGGAGTTTTTTTCATTTATGCTCACTTTCAGCAGTCATAAAAATGTTATTAGTCTATCCCCATTGATACAAAATGCTTCAAGAATATAATTTTTATTTTTCCAGTTTCTGAGCCAGGTTTTCACTGTTTCATATATCTGAAGCTCTAGGGATGAACCAGGGTGGCCTTGAACTTGTGGCCTTCCTGCCTTCTGTCTTAACCATCTTAATTCTGCTTTAAGGCCATTTCTGTCAGTACTCAACAAATGACATCTGCAGCGGGGAGGAGGGAGTGTAGCTCAGTTGGTAGAATACCTGGCCAACCTGCACAAAGCCAGGGCTTCCATCCCCAGCACCACATAAAACAGCACACAGTTATAATCTCAGCAGCTGGGGGGTATGGAGGTCAGAGAATCAGTTCAAGGTCATCTGCTACACACCAAGTTAGAGGCCAACTTAGGTTACATGAGTCCGTTTCCAAAATGGGACGCCTCAAAATCTGACAGATCTAATTTAAGTTGACCCCAGAAGCTGGTGAAAATACTGGTTTTGTCATTTTGGCAATTTATAAAATTTACTGAAATATAACAGATGAAAAGATCCTGAAGAATTAGGATCAGGAAAGTAACTAATCACTAAACTGTCTTTAGGAATGTAAAATCTCTATAGAGAGCTTATAGATTTAAAAGTGCAAGACCAGAAATTAATATATTTAAGATCCTGAATGGTCATGGTTTAAGTAACTTAATGTTTTTCTGCTGGAAAAAAAGAAACTACTATCTGCCTAAGACCATAGCATAAAGGTACTTAATACATAGGGTGAAATTCTACTGTGGATAGGTGTAAACACTGGAATGTAATGCTAGAAGTTTCCTAAGAGAATTGGGGGGCAGGGGGACTTAATTATGTCATAGCATAGGCAGTTTTAAATGCTCTTTTTTGTTATTGTTTTGGTATTTTGAGACAGGGTTTCTCTGTGTAGTTTTGGTGCCTGTCCTAGAGCTTGCTCTGTAGACCAGTGCTGGGATTAAAAACGTGCACCACCACCGACTGGCTAAATGCTCTTATTTTTAATGCTTAGGATCTTTAAAAGCCTGTGGGGTCTTTGGGGTCCAACCCTTTACAAAAAGTAGCATCTGTGATGAGGATGGTGGTTATATATAACATTCCTTAAAGAGTAGAAGGAAAAGCTGGTCCTTTAATCCACTATATGAAAGGTGTAGGCAAGCAAAAAGAAAGGTATGGGAAAAAACTATTGGCCTTTTCCATTGTAGACGAGGGGAAAAGAACAAATAAATACAATTAAGTTAGAACCTTACCAGACAATGAAGACTATACAGACCTCGTATGGAGGCCCACACCTATGACCCCAGCACTTCAAAGCTGAGGCAAGGAAGTCTATGAGTTCATGGTCAAAAATGGACAACTTTGTTTCAACCTTGTTTCAAAAAAGGATGTTCAATTGGCATATCACAAAATGAGTGCATTTCCAGTCTTCCTCTGAGAATTGTGAAGCTTTAAAGTGCATTAAGAGAATTACAGGCACCATCGGTGCCAACTTGACAGTTCAGAAACAAACAAGCTGTGGCCTTGTTCTCAAGAAGGCCTCTAGAAGATAAGGCAAATGTGCATTATTAGCTCTGCTATCTGGCCTTTCCTTAAGGGTTACATGACTGTTCCAAGTAGTGATAAAACATGCTATCTTAAAATCTTGAGTAAGTGCAGAAACGGAATACTAACTATACAACTTAGAATCCTGGGTGTTAGCTGGAGGAGAGGCACAGTGCTGACTGGACACTCAGTCCTCACACTCACGGCAGGTGCTTCTGTGCAGGAGATAGAGTTCTAGTGTCATGGCACATTAGAGGAGCATCTCTGAATGAGTATTGCATGACAGGAATCACAGACTCGCACTGGCTTTGGTGAAGAAGGCAAAGGCAGCTCGTTGTCAGAGCAGGCATTACAGAAAATTTCCCCGCAGTTTCTACAGTGGTGCTATTAAATGGAAAAATTGGGAAGAAAAAACAAAAACAAAAACAAAAAACGAGTTAGAAGCCATTTTTGGGCTAGAGTCGCCAGGAGGGGACGTCTAGGAGAGGCCTCCAGGACGCTTGTACAGTAGTACCTCATTAAATCGTTTTCAGCGCCTTGTGTGCGATTCCACTCGAGCTGTGCCGTTTCCTGGGATGGTGACATCTCCGGGGGGGGGGGGGGGAAGCCATTTTTGTTGCCAAAATGTTTGGACTCACTTTCACCCCTCTTACCTTTCTTTTGGAGAGTGAAAATTCCTTCTCACAAAGCTTACAGTGTGTTGCCTCTTTGTCTTTCAGCCAGACCAGTCCCTAATAGGAAAAGATGAATGTTCCTGTTCAAATCAGTTAACACTTGCACTTAGCTTAAAAGCATGAAACAGAAAAGGCAGAATTCCTGACTTGTCATTTTTCAGGGAGCCACTTCTGTTCAAAATCAGGGAACTCAAGAAAGAAGGTACCAGGCTCAGGCAATAGCTCTCAGAGAAAGGTCAGAGGAACTTAGGACAAAGGGGCCAAGGCCAGATGTGGGCAGGGGGCCAGACTTCCAAGACAAAGTAATGAGCCACCTAACTTCTTCAGGGGACATTTGATAGAGGTGTTGTGTTGTCGTCATTGAAGAATGATGTTAAATGAAGTGACAGGCAGTTGACATCAGGAGAAATAATGGGGTGTGGCACTCAAGAGGATTCCTGAGTTTGAGGCCAGCCAGGGTTACAGTGAGATCCTGTCTAGGAAAAAAGCTTTCTGGGGTCACTTAAGGAAAAGATGTCCCACCACATCCATAACAAGGTGAAAAACACACTAGAGCATGGCTCAGCAGTACAGGGTTTGCCTGGCATGGGCTGCCCGTTCAAAAGGGGAGGCCGTAGGAATTGCACATGGTTTTGAATGCAGAGCTAGATGCCAGAGGGAATAGCTGCAAGAACTGGAAGCAGCTCCCTTTTGGAGCAGGAGCTAAGGTGGGTTAAAGTCGAGAGCAAACATTTTTGTTATTTGAAATCTTTTTATAGTGGGGGCTGGGGCAATGGCTCAATCATTAAGAGTACTGCTGTTCTTCCAGAGGACCCAAGTTCAATTCCCAGCATCTATGTGGCTCACAATCTTCTGTAACCCCAGTTCCGAGAGATCCAACACATTTTTCTCACTATTTCCCCTCTCTCTCTCTCTCTCTCTCTCTCTCTCTCTCTCTCTCTCAAACTGGTTCAGAGTGCTGGCTGGCATTATATAACCTAGGCTCCAGGATTTTTGAAGAACTATTTTCATGTAACACTTGGATTAAAAAATTAAAGGGTAGCTGGGCGGTGGTGGCGCACGCCTTTAATCCCAGCACTCGGGAGGCAGAGCCAGGAGGATCTCTGTGAGTTCGAGGCCAGCCTGGGCTACCAAGTGAGTTCCAGGAAAGGCGCAGAGCTACACAGAGAAACCCTGTCTCGAAAAACCAAA